AAAAAAAAAAAAAAGACAATCTCATACCTTGCCCTCATCTGCATCAAAATGGCGTTAAGAAAACACTACTCTCATATCATTATACAAATAGAAGTGACGCTCTCCCTCAACAGCTCCATTATTTCTCTTTGGCACCGAAAAGGGATCCGATTGGCATATTTGCATTGCTTTGCAACATTTCCTTAAAAAGGGGCATAGGAAACAAACATGTAGGGCATAACGCAGAGCACCAGAAGTAGGGCAATTATCATTTAGTTTTGTAGAGCTATGAATAGATTTCTGATTAGTTATATCCCCCTCTATGTTCATAAAATAATTGGTGTTTATATTAGTTGTAAAACCATTAGGTTGTTCAGGGATTTCCGAAGGTGAAAAGAACAAGGAATTAAGGTCTGGTATAGTTGGATATTTACTAGCTTTTTTCAGAATGACGATCAGTAGTAATATGTACACAGCCTGCAAAATCAATAGATGTGTGTTCAAAGCACCTAAAGTGAAATTTACTACTTTCATGGGGTTAGCAATTTCATATTGTACCTTCAATTTTGTTGGAGAGCACTGAGTCTTGACATCTCATTCCTTTTGTCAAACGGGAAACAGAAGAAGAAGAAGATAGAGTAGCCTTCTGGCACATGAACGTCTGTTCATTGAAGATTGAAACATTGACATGAAAAAAATGAGAAGAATATGCATTAAAATGAAAGTATTGCACTGATAAAACAGAGAAAGAAACAATTTTCAAGAAATTTGAGTCTGCTTGCAACTTCAAGAAAAAGGATAGGAAGAAGTAGATGAACAAGAAAAATATTGGAAATAATTTTCAGCACATCCTTCCCTTTTACTCTATTACTGCATGCAGTATAACCTCCAAGCTGCAATAGAAAAATGGCAATCATGCTGCTATGTAATGGCAACCTATTTAGCCTTAGTTATAACAAACCTTTCATACTTTCTTCTCATTCAGCCATTCTCTTTGACAACTTTCAAAACTGTGTACTCTAGCCAAAATAAGCATATCTTTTTCAAGTTGTACTCACATTTTAGAGCATAATAAATTCAAGTTTATCTGATGTTTCTTAATTCGTGCAACAATCTCAAACTTTAAATACAAGTATTTACACATTTGTCAAAAAACACGTGAACAAAATTATTTTTAATAATTTGATGGATCATGCATGCCTTTTTGAAAGTGTCATACAACCTCCGATGCAAAATAGTGAATTGTTTGTCATATAAACAAAATTTTATTCACATGAGTGTGTTATCATTTAAGAAATGCACCGGTTTGATTTTAAGAAAAGCTCTTTAGTTTGTTACAGGTGAAGCTGTAGAGTCCAAAAGTAAGGTATATAAATATAAGGCTAGGAAATGTCATTTACGAAAATATTATTGTCAAGTAAAAATTGATCATTACTACCATAAACTGGAGCATGGGTTCAAGCTATTTTGAGGAACAATGTATGCAAAATCCATAGGCGCAATGGCTAGGCCCTTGTATTCAAGCAGCTCATTCGCCACATGTGGGTTTGATTTCAGAAGATTCCCAATCATTTCCTCATGTAGCTGATGATATGTTTGAGGATGGAGTAAGTAGTGACCGAAACCCTACATAAAAATACTCCTCATTCTTAAAAATTCTCACATCTGTAAAAAAATATAAAAAAAAGTATAAGGAAATACAACCATTTTTTTTTATGAGCTTAGATGTATCACTGACGAAGATTATACAAGACAATTAATCAAAAGAGTTATGTGCATAATCCTTCAATTACACCAAGTTAACTGAAGAGATATAATAAAGCACTGGCTGATGAATTTTCATTGATATAATATCTTCATAAATGTTATAGTAATACAATACTAAAATAAGGCAGCAGAACAAAGCCAAAAAAGTATATTGTATAAAGAAAAAGCACTAGCTTTTAAATGTAAAGTGATATTGATACAATATTTAATGATAAAATAACAGAACAAAGTTATAAAAGCACATTATACAAATACTAATAATTATAAATGGGAACGAAGAAATAAAGCACCTCAATATGAACAAAAGAATGAGCTGAGGGTTCACCAGTCAATCTGGTTTGGCTCAATACCTGTCATTTACCCTAAATTAGAATAGAAGCAGAAGAATAATAACAACAATGGGAAAACAATTCAGATGAAAGCTAAATGTTGCTTTAAATAGTTGTTTCTCTTCCACCTAATTAACCAACATCCTTTTCTATCTACTTGGTTGAAAACGTGTAAAATTAACAAAAAAAATGTACATGAATTTTAGTATAAAATGCAAAATTCAGGCTACTCTGTAATTAGTTTAGAGAAAGGGCTCAATTAAATTTCCTTTGTAGATTAGGGTTGTCGATATATTTGTTATATGCTAATAGCTTACTTTTGGCTTTATAATTGGATTGAGCTCGTCTTGTTCTCTAAGCATATCAGACATATTACAACATGATACACAAGCTCGTTCATTAAACAAGTCAGATATGATTAGCACCCACGTGTTCAGGTTGGCAACACTACTCAACATCATACAATGAAAAGCAAATTATTTTCAAAAATAAAATAAAATAAAACATATTGAAAGAACGATGTGTAACCTCCCTATGTAAGACACTATTAGAAGCCTGTCATCACTTGTTTTTCCTACTATGCTTACTGAATATAACTGTTAATTATCCTTCACAGACAGAGACAACAACATACCATAGAATTATGAGGGGTACTAAAACGTTTTGTTTGATCAAGAAATCCATTCAAAAAAATTTCAAAGATTAAGAGAATGTCCAATGATCGAAGATAGAGCATTTGATATCAATAATTAAGACAAGAAAAGTTCTACATGAAGCAAATTATGGAGGATTGAAATTAATAATTCATACAATGAAACTACAGGATAAAGTAATTGTATATGAACTTTGAATATTTATGTCCAACTAGAAGTATCAATTTTATTTCGTACTATAAAGATTAAATATAGAGTTAATTTTTTTTTGTTAAGACAATTAATGAAAATAATTAAAGTAGAGAGAATTCTCATATATTGTTTACAGGTATATAATTGAGTACAATATAAATTGAATTAATATTCATTAACAAAACAGTGTTAAAGGTATGTTGATCTCATTGAAGCCATAACATGAATCATTAATAAGTGTTACACATACTCGTGCAAAGACAAAAGATAATTACTAGAAAAACAAGTTATCAAAAACAAAAAATGGAGATCATAGATATATTTCTAGGGAATACATTCTAATGAGATCCAGTAATGCATCCTTGAGTTTTCTAGGACATTACATTCTTTTAATTTTGAAATAGTCCTCATAAAATAAACGTTCTTAAAGAGACACGCATTATAATGTCAATAAATTTATGATAACAAGCAAACCAAACTATTTGATGCAAAGATGAATAGTATCTTTAATCTATTAATGTCGTGATCTTTCTCTCGATATTGATACTAGCATGGTTTAAATATCATTCAAGTGTTCTAAAGCAAATTCACTAGAAATAAGTAACAATATTTACTTCTATTATTTAACTTTTATAAGCATTTCAAATCAGACAATAAATATCTACTGCTTCCCTACTATACAACCCACTGCTCCACATTCCTTGCCATGCCGCCACCTTACCCAGCCTTAAACAATCACCACCACTCCTGAATCAACCCCATAATAGGCGTCTATGTGTGTCGTGTCTGTTTTTTTTTTTCAATTTTTATGTTGCTTGTAACCTCCTGTTGGCTTTTTGAGTAATTATAGTGCTTTGGTTATTGTCGTTTGTTTTAACTTTAGTATCAATTATTTAGCAATAAAATGTATCAAAATTGAAATATGATTAATGTAAGATTGCTTTCAATTACAGGAGCATTAGTTGTCACTTACATTTAGCCGAAGTTTCAGAAAATTAATATTCGATGACATTATCAAGTATAGATGTCTGACTACCCTAAAAATAAGCAAAAACAAACAAAAAAAATCAGAATGCATAAACAACATAGTGAATATAGAAAGCGAAAAAACTCAACATTGAGATAAAAATTTTGAGAAACAAGGCTTCCAAGTCATTTAAATTGCATAAATTTCAGTTGTTTGCATGACACAGATAATCAAATGAAACAATTTTTAGACATTTGTTCCTCTAGTTTATAACAAACTTTGACTGAGTACAATCTAATAAGACGTTTTTTTAAAATTTTTGAACTGAGAAAACTTGGGGTTGGATGGTAGACCCCAAGTTGAGTAGGATTATTTATATCGCTATGAATTTATTTTGAGATGGATAAAATAAATGAATTATTAAAAATATAACAGTAATTGTAATAAAAAGCATTCTAGTCATTTGGGTTTGATTGGCTTATAATTTTTTTTTTTAATATTTAGCAATGAAATTAATTGTGAACCACAAAACATTCAACAATTATTTATATATATTATCTGGAGCTACAGGACATAGTAAACATACCGTTTCAGAATATGGTAGTGCATTTTTCAATGCTTTAATTGCTTCGACAACTTTAGTTCTATATATCTGTCATAAGTAAACTTTTAGCAAATATACAAAGCAACTTAGGAGAGAAATTAAACGAAAGTTAGGCTATATTGCTCCAATAAGTAGCTATGATACAAGGCTATATGTGTTATTGTTGTGGAGAAAAAGAACGATTTGGTATGAGGAAACAGTAAAATAGTAACAAACTCCCAAAGAACACGAAAAATTTTCTTACCCGACTACAAAGTTTAGCCATTTTTGTTGCCATGCTTGCTTCATATTGTTGTGTGACATTAGAGCAGTATTTTGATTGTGGCTTGATCAAGACACCAAAGGGGAGCCAATTCTT